CCTACATGCAAAAACAAGAAACAGAAAAATGGAGAGCTGCTAGTTCATAGAGGTAGTACAAGGACTAAGTATGATATTGCCTGCAAAGTACTAATCCCATGGCGACTATTTGAAAATACTATCTATCATTGCAAATCTACAATTAAGATGTACAAAGGGTCTCTTTGTAGTGATATTTAGAAGCTTCTGATAATTTCAAGATAAGGAAAACTGATTTCCTTCAAACAAGAAAAAGGGAAAGGGAAGAGAGCTTTTTGTTTTTTCATGTAGGAAGTTAGCATGCACTCCCAATAAAATGGACCCAACTTAGGTTCTGACTGAGAAAATAAGGCTTTCCTCCATCTAATGAATCATGTGACTACAGGTAGATTTAACACAAAACTAATAAAGTTTATTTTCAGAGAATCCTTCAATGGTATGGCTTCCTTCCAAAATTTTACCAGGGCCCTAACAATGTGGCAAGAAGTACACTGATTTCTCTTTCTTTCTTTCTTTCTTTCTTTCTCTCTCTCTCTCTCTCTCTCTCTCTCTCTCTCTCTCTCTCTCTTTCACATCAGACTGATAATGTGCCAGTGTGTAACAAAATTTGAGGGCAGCACATGTCACACATGCATGTGAATACCCAGTCATCACGCATATAAACCAAAAAAGGATCTGATTCTAGCTCTTAAAGAACATCTACTGTAGTACACAAGCTTTTGGTCCCTCCAAAATTCAACTCCTCCTATGGTTGAACTATTTGTAATTCATTGAGAACCATGCAGCTCTATGGTTGATAGAGTTGTGGGAAGATGTCTTCATCACCTGGCTCCTGTTTTCAAGTCCCTTAACACCAGACCTTGGGATTAAAAGAAAAGTGCCAATTTATTGTTTTACCTTACTAGAAACTAAATGATTCCTCCCAAGAATGTTAAAACTCACAGACTGGGCACAGATCAGGGAACCCTTTTGAGTTCAAGTGACTGAAGCAATGACCTAAAGATGGCAAACTTCAAAATCGACCCCAAGAAATTGAAAAGGTGCCATTGGCACACTTAGTCACTTCTACTGAAAAATTAAAATGAGCCATTACGTGTCACCACAACCAAGAGAGGTTTGAGACAGTTCAAGAGGAAGCACCACGGAGGCCTTGAATACACATGGCTGGTCCAGGTAGAACTGCACCCACACTTCCTGATGCACCCTTACATTCCTTCCTATCACTCTTCTCACTGACATCACAGCTTATCATCACTTTCCAAGGAAAATCAGGACAAAAGGCCTGAATATTGAGCAACTTTCCCAATTTGAACAAAGTATTACCGCAGCACGAACTATACCATATTATCTCATCATAGTGGCAGCCCTGTGAAGTACTGCACTTTACAGACAAAGAAACAGACAAAGAGAAATAGGAGAAGACAGTGAGGGGGAAGCTGAGTCCACAAGTAAAAAGTAAAACCCAGATTGCAAGACCAGGCTAGTTTCTTGCTTTTGTTTTCTTGTGGTACATCTGCTATTGCCTTAAGCAGCAGCATTCAGTGCTGAGCAAAGACACTGTGAGAATGGAATGGTTTCCTCATCTACCCTCTGACACTCAGATCTGTTACTCTGAGGTAGAGGGAGACAAACTGTTGTCAGAGAACTGAGAAAAGGACTATGGATAAAGAAGACAGGATGTGACTGAGTGTCAAGAATACCTTGCACCTAGGTGATAGCATAGACCCTCAGTTTAATTTTAGTTGAGTAATTGCACTGAAACAGTAAGAGATCTGTGTTCAAATTCTAGTGCCACCTGCTTGATCTTGGATCAGTTACTTTATCTCGCAAAGTTTCAATTTCTTCATGCGTCAGTGAGATTAAATAGTGTGTACTACATAGGATTAAACATGTTCATACATACAACTTGAAACATTGTTGGAAATATGAAAAATAACATTAACAATAGCTATTACAGAAAAATTCACAGCTTGACCATCTTACCCTTTATCAATGAAATTATACATGAAAATTGATATAATGTGCATGTTTGTTCATGAATTTATTGAGGCCGAGGAAGGAAGCAGACTCTGTTGCGCCTTTCTTAGAGCTCACAAGCTGCAGCAGTCTCTATTCTATCTAAAATGGAAAAAAGTTGACTACCTCTGTCTTACTTGCTTAGCATCACTCCCAAGTAGTCTTTATTATGAGTTCTTTAGTTGGCAGCACTAATTGCATATAAAGTGCCCTCTAGATCTCTGGCCACTTCTAAATGATTCTTGATAAGTGTGCGGAAGATCGCTCAGCAGGGTACAAGCTGCACACAATTATTTCTTAGTTAATCCCTTTAGAGACAGTGACTTGTTAAGTGTCAGGATGGAGTGCATAACTTGAGGGAGGAAAGCAGTAGCTGGTATTGGTTCCTGTGTTCCATATTGCCTGGTGAGCCTCTGCTCTTCATTTTCAGGAACGTGTCACTGAAGAGACGTCTTTGTGTCACCTAACACGTGTTTAGTGATGATTTTATCTGTGCGTGGTGATGACCATACTAAACAATTGCTCCCTCTGTCTAGTTAAAGCTGACAGGGCTGTCACTGCTTCTGTGATGGCTCCAACCCCCAGCTTCTTTTCAAGAATATGTCTTATTCTATGTCAGAGAAATACAGAGAGTTTGAGAATAGATTTAGCCAAGAGTATACAGGAGTTTACTATCTCGTGCTTAGATTTGTTGTCAAAAACAGGGAGGTTTATTTAAAGTTTGTCTTTCCTCTAGCCCATACTTCCAGACCTTGTTCTGTGCTTTCAATATTGAAACAGTCTAGTCAACTATTTAATGCGAACTCTTAAAAATGTGTTCATAGACGTACTTGTACCTTTTCTAAATCCCTCTGCCCTTCCTGATAACAGTTGTATATTCTAGCAGTAGCATCTGGGGCAAATATTACTACTTTAATGGGCAAGAGTGACTCTAGTGGGGGGGGGATTTCTAGCCAGGGGAGATAAGAAATCTAGACATTAAAGAAATTATTTGGGTAAATGGGTCCTTAAGGAACTCAATGAATGATAGATACAGTCAGACCTGTCTCATAACAGCAAAGGAAATGCTTGCAAAACATCTGAAGATGATGCTGTTTTTACCCTATGTGTCCATTCTTGTTTGCAATTAGTTCAGATCTGAATCGACCCCTTCAAAGTCGAGTTCATTATTTGTCCCATTTGAAGATAAGGACAATATTTGGCTTCTGATACAAGCTATGAAGGGGTAATTCTGGACCCTGACGTTCGTTGATTCTTATTTTTCTGCTAAGATTTAATTTCGCCACCTTGAAAAAAAAATCTTCATAGGTTAGAGTAAGTTGAGCAAGATCTTAGCAAAGAAATACATTATAAAAATGGACCTCAGTAAAATTGTGAACCTGGTGCTAAAGAGGCAAGAGACAAGAAGTTGCCAAAGCTGTGGAGTAGTGAATAGGAATGGTCAGTCAACCAGCCAGCAAGGAACAATGGAAAGGTCAGGCTACTTTTAAACATTACCATGTCTTTCACTAGCTAAAGTGAGCATTAAAATCCCAAAGTCTTGCTTTCTTCTCAAAGTTCAGCAAGAACAGAAAATGGCACCACATCAATACCCGTAGAGATATTTAGAAACGGTCTGAACATCTGGGGATAACTATGAGGTCATCCCTGGAGCACCACTGTCAACCTGGTCATACTCTCCACCTTCCCCCCACCCCCAGTCTTTCCCAGCTCACATCATGCATATCCACAGTACAGCTGCCTGATAAATCAGACAGAATTCTTCAAAGGGCCCCTGGGGGGCTGATAATCACAATAAATATCACAAGTTTGTCCTCACACAGACCTTTCTTCAGAATGCCTTCTAGGCTGGCCAGTGAATTGTTATGACTGCTCTGTGTTTCTCTCACAGGAGATTGATGAAGCCTGGGGGCTTCCCTGAGGTCACCCAGCGGGATGGGTTCCCTACCAGAAGTTTCCACACTACCTAGAGAATCAACGATGTTGCAAAATAGAGCCCTGTGCAGCCAATAAAAATATGTCAGTGGATTTTACAAAGGACTTTTTAATAAAACAGCAAGTTCCAACTCTGTCTCAGGCCTTTTCAGTGGGCTGTGCTGGGTTATTTTGGTGGACCTTACCAACTCCAAAATCAGCCAAATGTGAAACAAAATTTTATAGTATTTGGTAGTATGGATAGTCATAAGTAGAAATTGCATGTTAAAGACACTGAATTTTAAAAACACAACAAAATTCACTTTGCCACCTGTTCATTTGTTGGTTTGGAGGATTTTTTTATATTTATTTATTTATTTATTTATTTATTTATTTGTGTGTCAGTGTGTGTGTATGTGTGTGCATGTGTGATGTAGACAGGTGCTCACACATGCCATAGCTTATGTGTGAAGGTCAGAGGAAAGTTTTCACAAGTCAGTTCTCTCCTTCCATAATATGGATTTCAGGGTTTGAACTCAGGTCATCAGGGTAGGCCATGGAAAATGTCTTTATCCCCTGAGCCACTACACCCATCCCATATGTTCTTTTCTGAACTCATAACCATCAACATACAGTCTCTGGCCTGGTTGTTCTCAACCTCCAGCAAGTTTGCCTACCAGGAGGCATTTGGCACTAGTAGAAACATCTGTGAGTATCATAGCTGGATGGGCAAGAGAATGCCACTGAATCTACAGTAGGGCCAGGACTACTGCTGACATTCTACAGTGTAGAGACAGTCTCACAAGAATCACCTGGTCTAGGTTGGCAATAATGCCAAGAGTCAGGTATCGGAAGTCTGAACACAGACATGGCAACTGGAACAGTAAAAGAGCTTGTTGAAAGTCATTTTTGCAGTGTCTGTACCTCAAGGCTTCTTCCCCAAATCTGACAGTAGGCAGCTACTTCCCTGGCCCTGTCGCCATTGCAGTTGCCACCCCTAATGTCTGTTACAACTAGTTCTAAAACACAAATATACCTGGGGATTTTGTTTTGTTTGGACAATAATAAATAAGGTATTATGGTGTATATAATCTTTGGGTCCTACATTTTTTTAATCCAAAGTAGAATTGGTGAAATCCTTCTGCACTTTTAGAGTGTCATTTTTGGGTCACTCATTTTAACCACCACATAACATTCCATTGTATAGATGAACTGAGTACATTTTAATAAACATCCAGATTGTCTTCTGGTGTTTGCTATCATTTATAACACTTCTATAAAAGAGCTATATAAAACGCATAGTACAGGGGCTGAAGAGATGTTTCAGCAGTTAAGAGCACTGGCTGCTCTTGCAGAGGACCCAGGTTCAGTTCCCAGAACCCACATGATGGCTGACAACCATGCACAACTCCAGTTTCAGGGGATCTGATGCCTTCTTCTGACCTCCATGGGCATTGCATGTACAGGTGCACTTGCGTACATGTAGGCAAAGCACTCATACACACAAATCCCATGTCATGCAATGCCCACAGAGGATAGAAGAGGCTGTCGGATCCCCTGGGACTGGAGCTTCGAACAGTTGTTAGCTGCCATGTGGGTGCTGGGATTCAAACCCAGGTCTTCTGCAAGAACAACCAGTGTTCTTAACCGCTGAGCCATCTCTCCAGCCCGTAAAAAAAAAAATAAATTTTTTTTAAGAAACTCAGTACGGGCTGGAGAGATGTTTCAGTGGTTAAGAGCTGAGG